CCAGAGGGGGCTGGTGTGTAAGTGCCACCTCAAGTGCTGGTCATTCCTGGCCATGTTGTGACAGCACTTGGGCTGAACCTCAACTTTGGTCCAAAATTGCAGCAGGCACTGGGAGCAGGGAGTCCAGAGAGTGGGAGCCAGCACTTCCAAGCCTGTGGGGACAGGGGCGCGTCCCAGGCACCCTAAGGACACAGGGTAGCTGCAGCTGTGCCTTGGAGCACAGGGCTCCCACCTGTTCCCAGCCCTCACAGGCTCCCTGGAGCACGCAGCCCAGCTGCACCTCCCCCACTGCAGCTGGTGTCCCTGAAGCAGCTATTCCAGATGGGCCACTGCTGCCATCAAAAGGATTAGACTGTCTTGGTTTATTTTGTGTAGCTATAAATACTTGAGGCTGGGTAATAAGAAAGCAGGTTTACGGCTGGGCGTGGTAGCTCACACCTATAATCCCAGCACTTTCAGAGTTCGAGGCAGGCGGATCACAAGGTCAGATCAAGACCAGACTGACCAACATAATGAAACCCCGTCTCTACTAAAGATACAAAAAAATTAGCTGGGTGTGGTGGCACACGTCTGTAATCCTAGCTACTCAGGAGGCTGAAGCAGAATCACTTGAACCTGGGAGGCAGAGGTTGCAGTGAGCCATTGCACTCCAGCCTGGGCGAGAGGGCAAAACCCCGTTTCAAAAAAAAAAGAAGAGGTTTATTTGGCTTACACTTCTGCAGACGGTACAATGATGGCTCCGGCATCTGCTTCTGATAAGGGACTCAGACTGCTTCCACTCATGGTGGAAGGTAAAGGGGAACCAACATATATGGAGATCACATGATGAGAGAGAAACCAAGGTAGAGAAAGCAGGAAGTTGTCAGGCTCTTTTTAACAACCATCTCTTGTGGGAACTAATAAAGTAAGAACTCACTTACTCTTGAGAAAGGGCATTAAACTATGAGGGATCCACCCCTACAACCCTAACACCTCTCATTGGGCCCCGTTTCCAACACTGGGGATCAAATTTCAACATGAGGTTTGGAGTGGACAAACATCCAAACCATAGTAGATTGTAAAAATGATTTCCCATTTATCTTAATAGTCATAGTTTGATTCTTCTGACTGCAGATACTGTCTTCTAAAAATATAATAACAAAAATTACTAGCTTTTATTTTTTTTGGGAGAATAATAAAGGAGTTTTCATTTACATAAATTATCCTTTCATAATTTGCTTGATGATGGCTATTGTAGGTGTAAAATAGTCCTGAGGAAACAGTATTATTCAAGTAGCTACAACAGTGATCAAAAAAAGAAAAGCTTGTTGATGAAATGTAGGCTAGATTAAAGCTCATCATAATGGGCTCTGATAGGATAATCTTTTTTAATCACAGTAAATTCAAATACTTTTTTTTATAATGGAACGCAAGTACCAACATAATATATGCTATCATCCTTGCTTTAGTATGTGTTCATGCACATGTTCAAAGGTTTATTATGATATTTTATTCACTTTTATTTAGGCCAATATTTACCAAGGTTTTACTGTGGCACAGTTAGATATGGTTAAGGGTATTTAGTAAAAACATTTCCATAGCCCAATCCATTGAGCAAACAATACTTGGTATCTCTACCAAGGATTCACAACATAGATTAGTATGTTGAGAATTCTGAGCAGCTCCCTGTTTCAGTTCTGTTCAGACTCATATAACAAGATGCCATAGACTGTGTGGCTTATGAAAAACAGAACTTTATTTCTCACAGTTCTAGAGGCTGAGAAGTCTAAGATGAAGGCATCAGCGTATTGACTGTCTGGTGACCCCTCTTCCTCATAGATCTTTTCTAACCTCACATGGTAGAAAAAAATGAAGGATCTCCCTTGGATCCTTTTTATAACAGCACTGAGAGCTCTGCCCCCTGACCTAATCACTCAAAGGCCCTATCTCCTAATACTATATGCATTTGGGGAGACATAAACATTCAGACCCTAGCACTGACCTAAAAAAGAAACGTATTTAACAAGGTTTGAATCCAAACCCAGATTTCACAAATTTATTTAAACATGATATTTTTTCATAGCATACTTATTTACTCCTGTAGAACATCATTCAGAAGAATAAGCTGTTGCTACATGGATTGAATCCTAGCTGACACTCTAGTAAAAAGTCCATGATAAAAATTCCATCCAGAAATGTTTTCTTTTTCAAATCATTTAAGAGTACTTAATCTTCCTGCCATGTTTTAAACCTGTTCCCATCAGGCACATCCCTACAACTTGATATAAATTTGTATCCAGGTGATTTTTTGTATCTATATTGCTAAACACAACAATAGTTAGTTCTCAGTCATCATCTTACTGGACTTAGTGGCAGTATTTTACCAAGTTGGTTGCTTTTTCTTTTTCTTTTTTTGAGACAGTCTTGCTCTGTCATCCAGGCTGGAGTGCAACGGCACAATCTCAGCTTACCACAATCTGTGCCTCCTAGATTCAGGTGATTCTCCTGCCTCAGTCTCCCAAGTAGCTGGAATTACAGATGCCCACCACCACACCTGGCTAATTTTTTATATTTTTAATAGAGGCGGGGGTTCATATGTTGGTCAGGCTGGTCTGGAACTCCTGACCTGAAGCAATCCAACCACCTCAGCCTCCCAAAGGGCTAGAATTACAGGTGTGAGCCCATGCCCAGCCGCTTTCTACTTCTTGATATATTTACTTCACTTTCTTCCAAGACACAAAACTCATTACTCACTGGCTGCTGCTTCTCAGATGCCTTTGTAGGCTCCTCATTTTCTTTTTGCATTTTTAGAGTATCTGGGGACTCAGTTCTTCAATGGCTTTTTTATATATATATTCATTCCCTCAGTGATTTCATCTACTCTCAAAGTTTAAAATATCACGATTTTGACAATTCAAAATGTACATTTCCAGCTTCACTGTCTCTACCAACCTTCAGATATATCTCCAACCATTTACTGATTATCTCAAATTTGGTATATCCATGCCCAACTTCTGATTTTTCCTCCTAAATGTCTTCCTTCTGCAGACTCTCCCATCTTAGTTAAAGGCAACTCTGAATTTCCAGTTACTCAGAACATGAAGCTTAGAATAATAGTTTTCTCCTCAATCTTTCACACCTACATCTAATCCATAAGCCAATCCTGGTAGCTCTACTTGCAGATTACAGCTGGAATCCAACCACTTCCACTGCTGCCACCCTCATGCAATGCAAAAGCTGCAACAATTTCTCATCCTCCCACACTGAAATAGCCTCCAAACTGGCCTATTCTACCATTGCCCCTCTATATCTATTCTGAACAAAGCAGGAAGAGTGATCCTTTTAAAATGATTTAAAGACTAAGTCATTTATCTGCTCCAAGCTCAGCCATCATATCACATTCCAAAGTGAAATGCTTTACGAAGGTTGGCAAGGCCCTAGGTGATCTTTAAGGCTGCTTTCCACTCCTCTTAACTTTATGAACTCATCTCTAACTACTCTGGTTTGCTCACTGGCCTCCAGTTATGCTTGCTTCTTTGCCATTCCTACAACTTTCCACATATGCTTCCCCCTTCTGTATACATGATTCAAGTCTCTGCTCAAATTTACCTTCTCAATGAGGCCAACACTGACAATCCTGTCGAAAATTGCAACACATCCTCATCCTGCCTGCCCTCCCAATTTTCCTCTCCTGTGCTACATTTTCTTTTCCCATACTTTATCAGTTTACAATTTATTCATATGGTTTCTGCTTGTCTTTTTCCACAAGAATGTAATCACCCTATCATCCTGCTCACCACTTACAGTGTATTATAACAAGTAATAACAGAGAACTGTACAAGAAACTATTTAGGTTGTGTCACATTAGGGCAACCACTGGAGAGAAGTTTGCAAGGGAGTTGAATAACAAAGTTGAGATAGGAGCAGGAATAAGAATTTCATAGGACAAAGTAGGCCTGCATGATAGAGAACATATGTACCACACATCTGCTGTTACCTCCCATTGACTTTGGTTGTTAAGATGTAAATGTAACTAAATGTGAGTTCACATTACTTCATCTATTCTGATACCATCATTAGAGAAAGGAAATCCTAAAGCAGATTAAGACAAGAACTGTCCTTATTTGTTGATGCAATATTCTATTAAATAATCTGATACTAGAATCTTAAATTCTTTCAATCTCTTAAATCATATTTTCAGGGCTTCCCTTCACAGCTGTTAGTTTTCCTTAAATGTCTGACATTCCTTAGATATCAGTATGTGTTTATGAAGGATTAGATCAAATTGCACGGATAGCTGAGAAAAGCAGTTTCTTCAGCAGTTACACGCCTCATTAGATCTCCTTTTTGAACAGGAATGATGGTTCTCAGTAAATTGTCAGGCAGTGGCCAATCATGGCTCACTGCAGCCTCAAACTCTTGAGCTCACAGGATCTTCCCCCACCTCAGCTTCCAGAGTAGCTGGGACTATAGGTGCAGGCCATCATACCTGGCTAAATTGTCAGGGGTTTTTAACCAGCAGGCACCCACAGTTGGGTATGCAGAGAAGTTGTTTCTCACCATGCCAACATATGAAGGCTTAACTCTGGGAGTGCTGCCATTTCTCACCAGCACCCTCTTGACCTTCAAGTGAAAAGTCACTTCGCCTCTACTCTGCCTTCACCTCACGTCCTAATACCCTCAACTCGGAAGGCTTCCCCCAAATAACCCCTTTCTTTCAAGACTTGTTCTTAGTCCCTTACCTGAGGAAAAAGTTACTTTTGTTAACTGCTTAACTGGAGGGAGTACCGAAGAGCAGAGCTTTCCAATGCAGTTGTTCAATAAATTAATATAAATGAATTCTGGCTGGTTTCTCACTACCCTCACCCAAATCCAATCCTTAAAGCTTCTCCAGGACATCCTGTTTGTGGTTGTTCTGATTCCTCTCCTAATCCACACTCTTCGGCTTTATATATTACTGGAATGTCTCAAAACTTCTGATTTTTTTTTTTAATAGGCTACAGATAATCCTCAGCCCAAAATTCAAGAGATAGCTAATTTTATTATTAAACAAAACTAGTAGATATAACTTTCAAGAAATAAGTTACATAAATATAACAGAATAAATTCAGTTTCTTAAGTTTCAAATTAAAGATGATTAAGAAATACAGCTTTATGTGAAGTTTCTGCTACTTCCCAATCAGGCCCAAAGAGGAAAGAACTGGAGCAGGTACACTTGGCTCCTAGCAAGCAAATACAACATAATTGTAATTAGAAGATCTTCGAGCTATCAAAATTTGTGAGAGAAAGATGGTAGGAATGCAGTAGAAATTACCAATGACAATCAAACAAAATCCTATCAGGGTTTTCAGGTTAGTCAAAAGCAGCTTCGTGGAAACAGCCTGTGATCAACATATGTCTCATAGCTTATATGCCCTCTACACCTCCAGAGCTGCATAATAAACTTTTAACAATAAAACAACAACAAAGAATATCAGGTTGTAAATATTTGTATTTCTCTCACATACAATGTTGTATGAGATATTTATTTTAATATGTATCCATAGGATTAATACTCATATGGAGTATAATGTAGAAAAGTGCAGAACTAAAGAAGTATATCAGAAAACAAAAGCACACATTTCTTAGTATTTAAAAATATTGCACATAATAAGGTTGCACAGAAATTACTGGCTGGTTTTACAAACAGAATGAGGTATTAGTCAATCTCTAGATAAAATGAGTAGAAAGAAGAGACACTACACACACAAATAAATCCGTATTAAGACCTAGAGTGTCAATAACTAAGAAAGAAATGTGAAAAGATATGTTAAGTAGCTATGATTTCAACACTACAAAATCATTTTTATCCTGGGACCAAACACATGACAATCTCTTGGCAATATTTTGTAAGTTTTCAACTTTTTTCCAGCCTAAATGACTATGGGCAATAAAACCATTTCCTTTACCCCAGTTCTACTGTAAAAAGGCATAGTGCTGTGGTAAATATCAAACCATCTCTTTCCCAACCTTTCAGTAGCAATTAACCAAGATACTGTTCTCCTTTACTGAACGACTCAATTATACAGTTTCATGTACATTTTGCAACCCAAGTCACAGATGTTAAAGAACATGCAATAATGAATTAGCAAAGGTTTCACTGCAAAAATCATTAGGTTCACACAACTTAAATCTACAATAACTTTTAAAGTTTAATAGGTAAACTCAATCTTTTCTTGGTAATAAAACTGGTGACATTAATGAGCCCAAGGGCAGGTAGAGAAAAAGGACTAGGCAAAAATTACATGTTTTTTAAAGAAACTTTCCTAATCAGGGAAATTAGCATTTGTCTACTAGTTGAATGTTGCTGAATTTGTCAAAAAAAAAAAAAAATCCTTAAATATATTTAATAGCTATATCAAATTGTTTAAAGTGAAATCATGCACTTGTCAAAATAGTTCACAGAAAATCGTTTAGCATCAAAGATAATGAGGACGAGTCAACTAGTCGGATTTAGTGAGAACAGAAAAAGAACAAACTATTGTCCTGAACAGTCAGTGTACGTAGTAACCATATTTCCTCTTCGTTGAGTGACAGTCCTGCAGTGCTTGCTAGATCCATGAAATCTATTTTCAGTCTGTACTGTATGCCGATTGGTAGAGTCAAAACCACTAAAAGAAAACATTTTCTCCATATCTTCAAACATGTCATCAAATAATCCACCTCCAAAAGAAAACTCTTGGAAATGATGCCTTTGTCTACTGGAACCATCCTGGCGCGTCTGGAAATGATTTTCAAAATGTTTCTTGGATCGAGGGTTTTGATTTTGACCAAAAAAGCTAAAGTCTTTAAATAAGTCATCAAAATTGAAGTTAAATGACTGCTCAAAAGAACTTCCACTACCTCTTTGTCCTTTACCATTAGTAAAAGCACTGTGTCCAAGTGTATCATACTCTTTTCGTCGATTAGCATCTGAGAGTGTTTCATATGCTGAAAGAGAGAAAAATATTTTTAGTTCCTGAAGGTACAATATTCAAAATTACATATATTCAAATCTCTCCAAGTAAGTGAACACTGTGTGTTCACCTCATTCTGTTTGTAAAACCAGCCAGTAATGAAATTAAGAATTTTATTCTTCCCTAAAATAATAAAAGCAAAACATTACAAACATAAGCATCGAGTTAAAGTTATAAAACAGGGCAGAAACTGCCTTATTAACTGCTGTTTTACCAGCAGTTGGCACAATGCCATCTATAATAAATAATAAACGGTCATTAAATGATTGCTACCATTACTACAAATAAACACGTAGGCAACAATTATAGGGTTCTTTAAGCTTCATATTATTGGTGTAAAATAATTACTTGTATTAAAAAAATTAAACAGTCAACGATAACCAATTAATAGGAATTAAGATTTTTCACCTCCTTTCTAGTTAAAGTAAATGTTTAATTCTAACTCCCTACTCAGTTACCTCTACCCAACAATAATTACTGAATACTCACGAGGTGCAATTTGTATAGAACTAGTCTGAAGTCAAAATTCGTTTCAGTGTTTTCTTTAAAGACAAATACGGCTTTGAAACAGATCAAGTGAAGAACAAAGCCCTTTGAGTCTAGCTTAATTTTTAAGTATTTAATGTTTAAAATTAAATACTTAAACTGTTTCATAAGTTAGCTGATAAGAATTTTGGGTTTCTAGTCCCTTTTGCCATAGAAACAACAGCGATTTTATAAATAATATAGAATACATTTTCAATATGTTTTAGTTCTATATACCAATAAAATTATCTATTATTTATAAATAAATCACACTCTACCACCTCCACAAAACCTTCAAATGCAACCACTTCTTAGCTATCATTCTCCTTACCAGTTAATACTCCTGAGACTTCAGAGATTGTCATTTACTTACCTTCTGCAATCTCTCTGAATTTTGCTTCAGCATCAGGGCTCTTATTTTTGTCAGGGTGGTACTTCATGGCTAACTTGTGAAAGGCCTTCTTGATTTGGCGCTCTGATGCTGATTTTGGCACACCTAAGATATCATAGTAGCTTTTTGAGGCCAGAATTAGTTCTGTTATCATTAAAATGCAGATTGCAAAGATGAAAACAGACTGGGGAGTAGCCATTTCTAATATCCTAAAACAGAAAAGAAAAAAAAAACATGTTATGGATGGGGCTAATCTTAAAATTTGTTTCTTTTAAAAGAAATCCAACATAAGGTAAACCTAATGCAGTATCAAAATGTTAAGCATGCAATATCTTGTACCTGGTCATGTGTTATTTCACTTATAGATTTTTTAACTCCCAAATTGGCTTAACCTTATAGAGAACAAAAAGAACTACTGGCTTTGTCTGTCCACTAATACTCTGGCCATACACAGAGAAAATAGAAAATTTAAAATAACTGATTTTTAACCAGTTCATATGGAAGATTCATCGTATCAAGCATTGTAAAAAAGAAAAAAAAAGAAAACCAATTAATATAAGATCCCAACCTTCCCTTCAAGAATTCATATCCTGAGAGTTATAATGTGTTCAACCTCAGAAAAAAAAAAAAAGCATTAAAAAAAAAAAATGGAGCACCAACGTAAATAGTTGAGTATATCTAAATTAACACTAATTTCTCTCTAAAAATTCAGCTTTCATTTCAGCAGGTGAGCCAAGGACTGCAAATAGAGTTAATAACACAATACTAATACTGACAATAAATAGAATATTGTCTTTTTCCCAATGTTAACATCCCAAATGTTTAACCAGTGAAGCACGGCCAAATATATATTTAAAACTCATGATGAACAGAATTTGAGATGTCTGCTAAAGCTGCCAGAAAAGTGAACTTTGACAATCTGCACCGTGGTTAAGGCATATTCTTACTTTCAAATTTCTCAGTAGTTAAAATATTTCTCTTACCTATAAACCATTCAAGAAATGTTAACTTGGAATTCTTGACAACATGTATTTAATAACTTAAGATTCAAAACCAAGGGATCCTGTTTTTAGAATACGGAACCACCAGAGTCCTTAGTAACCTATGATGCCATAACAAAGCTGACGAAAAACTGTACGGTTTGTGGAAATTGCCTGCCTTCCTCTCCAGTGGCCTTTCCTGAGAGTAATTAGCAGGCAGGTGGATTGCTTATTTCCAGAGTTACTCGTAGTCACGGGTACCAAGGATCAAGAACCACCTCTCGGTTTAAATAACACAGTGTGTGTCCCATGGACGCTGCGTCGACTGCAGGTTGCTCCCTAGTCAAAGGGCGGATCTAAAACTGACAGGGAGGCGCCTCACTGGTTCCGTAGACGTTATTCCACGGTCTCAGGGTGGACATCTAATGATTTTTTTTTAAAGCAGTCTAGCTTTTGTACTGTACAGACTTCTCATCCCCAAGACGGCCCCGCCAGCCAACAGCCTGTGCCTTATTCCCCAGCCTCAGTGGCCAGCTAGGCTGGACCGTCCAACCTTCACCTAAAGGCGACTAGCACCCTCCCTGCCCGCCCAGGCCCCGCCATAGAGGCTGCCCGCGGCCAGGGCTCCAGTCAGGCGCCCGTGAAAGCCAGCGGCACAACTCAAAACACGATTCTGTGATGCAGCTCTCTCCGTTCTTCTATTCTCCCGACCAAAAACATGCAGTCCGTTTGTCCCTGCGACGACCGCGGCGGACGCTTGAGGCCAAGTCAGCTCACAAAGACAGGCCTGGGCTCGGGGGACGCTCCAAACTCCCTTCCCCACGACCCCGGCCTGGTCCCTCACCTGCACCCTCAGGCTCCTGCTGCTCCTCCACAGAGCTGAGGCGTTGGCGACCCCGACGGGTGGCTTGGGTAGGCTGGCTAGAGCCCTGATCTCGGTCGTACACCAACCTAGCGCTCCTCCTTCGCCGCCGGTGCCCACTCTCCTCTCAGCCAGCTTCTCACTGGCCAGAGGCGGCCGCTGGCGCCACCATCTCAGAAGACCAACACGAAACGCTTCCCCATTGGCTTACGCCTGCCCACGTGATCCCGGCGCTCTACGCGCACGTGGAAAACTGTTATTGCCGCTAGGTCGGGACGCCACTTCCGGCTCCAACCCCGAAAAGGTGGTGCTTAAACCCGCGGAGGCGGAAGTGAGTCGACAAACTAGACGACTTTTCCGGCTAATGCCAGCGCAGGCGCATTGGCTCGAGAGGCCTGGACCTGCGGCGCAGCCTCAGTGAGGAGGGACGCCCTATATCTGTCGCCTGCCGGGGTCTCCCGGGGCCTCAGCCGAGTGATGCCCCGCTATTGCGCAGCGATTAGTTGTAAGAACCGCCGGGGACGAAACAATAAAGACCGGAAGCTGAGTTTTTACCCGTAAGTTGTCTCTGAAGCAGAAGCGTCAGCCTCACTGTGGTGTCGCGGTCCTGTGGCCTTTGGGCTTGGGTATCTCCTGTCCGCTCTGCATATGAGTCCTCAGCTCTCCATAGGTGTCCCGTCGCCCGCGGGAAGACAGTGGAAAGACCCGTCAGTTTACTTAGTAGTGCCCTTCCTGCCCGAGGACTGAGGGCTGGTGGCGAGACCCAGGGTCCTGTTTGAGTTTTAATAGAACAGTTAAAACTGTCAAGTTTGCGCGGACTTTTGTGGTTTTCACAGTCTTTTCCCCACCTCACGTGATCTCATTTCATTGAGCAACATTAAGCCCCGTTTAAGATACGTGAAACCTGCGAAGTGGAAAGGTGCACGCAAAGTTAATTTACACCCTTTGCGAGTTAGGTGCGTAGGTACAATTTCATCCCACTTTTCTCCTGAGGAAACTGAGTCCCGAAATGATTAGGTAACCGGCTTGGAAAGCTTTGTGTCAGAGCTAGAATTAAAAGCTAGTCTTCTGCTTAGGGCTGTTTATACTATGCAGAGAACAGGGCACTATTTTCTGTTATTCTGAGTTACTAGAGCCAGGAAATATTTCCCTGAAGCTATGGAAGCACTGATTTTTATTCAGAAATACAGGAAAGCAGTATCGTATAATAATTAGAGGTCCAGGCTTCAATGCTAGATCCTGGTTCCACTACTTTGTAGCTGAATGACCTCTTGCACATTATTTAGACTTTGGGTGCCTCACGTATCTATAAAGTGGACCTATTAATAGTACTTGAAAAGCAACTTATTTAAAATATTGCATTTCCATCTTCTCTTGTATTTAAAAACAGTTTATTTCGATCTAACCTGCTTCAGATTTCAGCAGTTGTTTCGTGCCCATTTTACTTTAGACCTGAAGGACTTATTCACTAATGATTCAGCTGCTTTCCAGTATTTTAATTAATGGAAAAAGAACTGATAACCCTGCCTGGTGCAGTGGTTCACGCCTGTTATCCCAGAACTTTGGGAGGCCAAGGTGGGCAGAAAACTTGAGGTCGGGAGTTCGAGACCAGCCTGACCAACATGGAGTAACTCTATCTCTACTAAAAGCACAAAATTAGCCGGGCATGGTGGCACATGCCTGTAATCTCAGCTACTCCAGAGGCTGAGGCAGGAATATCTCTTGAACCCGGGAGGCAGAGGTTGCAGTGAGGCGAGATCACACCATTGCACTCCAGCATGGGCAAAAAGAGTGAAACTCCGTCTCAAAAACAAACTTATAACCCCGAGTAATTCACACTCCATGGCAATATTTCCAGGATTGTCTCCCCTGAAGCCCAGCCTCAAGATGCAAAGAGATGTTTTAGGGAGGAAAAAAATCTAATCCACTTTCAGTTTATTAATGGCTCTATCTCTGAGAATGTTTGTAGCAAAAAATCTTGTTGAACCCGTGATTTCCCAGATTTATTTGGCCTTTGATATTGGAGATGTGGTATAATTCCACACTAACATTTTTAACTAACCTCTGTGGACCTTACAGTAACTTTTTAGGAAGGAAAGAAATGGAAGTGAATCGTAAAGATTTCTGTCACTGAAAACTGAATTTAGTAAAAGTGGGATTATTTCTAGTGTTTTTTTTTTTTTAATTTTGTGTGTAATTCATAAAATAAAAATTGAATTGGTTTTATTCTCCAGTAGCACCAAACTTGAATTTGCTCATGTTAACACTACAGCAAACTGTAGTTTAAATGCATATGAATTTAGGAATTCAGTTAATATAGTGTCCAGACTGTACTGTGATTATCATATGCTGTTTTGGCAATTACATAAGACAATGAAACAAAATTATCAGTCAAACGAATTGAACCAATATAAAGTTGTAACTTATTCAGGAAACATGATCAAGAAGATTTCTTAGATATTTACCTGTTGAGGAAGCACTACAGTTCAGTTACCCATAAGGATATTCATGAAGTATTTTTTTAATGATTTGATAACAATATATAGGTACAATGATGGAAATAATTTGCAAACAGCATCCATATACATGAATTTACATTAAAAAGCATTACTGTAAAAGGCCTATTCTCATTTCAGTTTTAACAGAAGATATGAATTTACCAGTGGCCAGAAGAAGTCAGGTCCTCTAAAAGAAAATTTGTTTGCCTTTAAGTTCCTTTCCTAGTTAGGCTTGTCATACTTACAACCTAATATTTGTAAAGTTAAAATGTTTTTAAAACATGTATTAATACTGTTTCTATGGTTAGAATTTCCAAAGGTAGTTTATCTGATTTTTTCCCATATAAGGATATTAGGATTAAAAGTTATGTCTTACAGAGTACCCGACTCTCCATGGCGTCTTAAGTTACCAGAATTTATGGGGGAAAAAATTATGCTACTACAAAACATAAGCTAAATGGTTGGGATTCGGGGAAGGGAATATATAACAGCTACATTTCATATGAGAAACCTTATATTGTTACTGTTATTTTTAAATAGGAAATTATGTGGTATGTGTCTTAGACTGTGTTCTTGGAGAATTATCTAATGGAATCTAAACCATTTTCAAATGTTGTGTTGTATACTTTGACCCAAACCTTTTTAGATTAATAAGAAAAATTTTCTATTAAATTCTGCCATTAGTCCAGTTTTGCCTATAAAACACAGAGTAATATTAGGACCAACTCTAAATCCAGGTTATTGTCAGGTATAGGAACAAAATGTATACAGAGCTCTACTACCATTTGTATTTGATTTGTTTCATAAAATATATGAGACTATCCCTTTTAACATGTTTTGTTCTTTTCTTGTATTAGAGTTTCTCTTTCAGAACTTGAATTTTGGAGTTTCCAGTTCATTGGTTATAGAAGTGTAGTACTATTAGACTAAATTACATATAGATAGAATTGAAGCTGATGCTAGTAAAGAGACCAGAATATTTTCAGTACTCTTTCAGCTAAATGATTTGTTTGAAATAACATCTACTTATTTTTTAATTAACATAAATAAGATCATAAAACTTAATACTGCCTTGAATTATAGACAACAAACCATTTGACTTGTGGTATTATGAAATACATTTGAATAGGAATTTATAATTTATACAAAGTTCTAGTTCTAGGCAAACTGTACAGCAATATAAAAATGGAATATAATCTGTACAAAATACAAATAGATTTTATCCTTTATAGGAACACATATATTTTACTTGAAGGGACTCTGAGTTATGTTCAGCTCTTATCAGATAAGAGCCTTGGCTACATGTCTTACATCTTAGTCCTCTTACTGCAGAGATGATATGGTAATAGTTATCATAAGATGCCCTTATTTGGTAAGGATGGTTGCCTTGCTATTGTAGTACTTACTTGATGCATAGGTTACCCAGATATATGGGGTTGGCATTTGGCAAAATTGTAAAAATATAGCAAAGTTTTCCCTTTTTTTCTTTTTTTTAATTCCAGATTTCCTCTACATGATAAAGAAAGACTGGAAAAATGGTTAAAGAATATGAAGCGAGATTCATGGGTTCCCAGTAAATACCAGTTTCTATGTAGTGACCATTTTACTCCTGACTCTCTTGACATCAGATGGGGTATTCGATATTTAAAACAAACTGCAGTTCCAACAATATTTTCTTTGCCTGAAGACAATCAGGTATTGGAGTAGTGGAGAGGGGTAATGCTGAGCAGAGTGGCAGATTGCAGGGTGGGAGAGTAAGAGGGAACTATAACCTGGGGAAACGCACATGGACAAAAGAGAGCAGTAATTTGTGCTTTTACTAAAAGTGATAATTTTTTAAAAATTTAAACTCATGAAGCACAGCTTAAGAGAAGTAAGAGATATACATTACTAAGTTATTAATATAAGTTCATGAGTTTTATTTTTTATATTGTTTCATTTTGGTTTTTGAGACGGAGTCTTGCTCTGTCATCTCGGCTGGAGTGCAGTGGTGTGATCTCAGCTTACTGCAGCCTCCACCCTTCGGGTTCTAGTGATTCTCAGCCTCCTAAGTAGCTGGGGTTACAGGCGGCCACACCATGCATTCTATTGTTAGTAGAAATGGTGCTTCACCATGTTGGCCAGACTGGTCTTGAACTCCTGACCTCAGGTGATTTGCCCACCTTGGCCTCCCAATATACTTGTGTTTTGAATGATCTTAAATGTTTCTGCTGTATGTTGAATGGGGTTAATGCTTTTTAAAGAACACTTTAAGGTATATTTAGTTAGAACATCTTTTTTATCTAAATAAATTGGGTTGGCCAGTATACTACTCAAAGTTATAATTAAATAGCACTAACAGAATAAGCCTATAAAGATATCTTTTTCAGAATGTGAAAATATTATTTTCTAGGGAAAAGATCCTTCTAAAAAAAAATTCCAGAAGAAAAAATTGGAAGATGAGAAAGAAGTATGCCTAAAAGCCAAGTCAGAAGAATCATTTGTATTAAATGAGACAAAGAAAAATATAGTTAACATAAATGTGCCCCCTGAACATGCAGAATTACTTCATTCTTCTTCCTTGATAAAGCCACCAGCTCCCAAAACAGGAAGTATACAGAATAACATGTTAACTCTTAATGTAGTTAAACAACATACTGGGAAACCAGAATCTACCTTGGAAACATCAGTTAACCAAGATACAGGTATAGGTAGTTTTCACACATGTTTTGAGAATCTAAACTCTACAACTATTACTCTAACAACTTCAAATTCAGAAGGTATTCATCAATCTTTGGAAACGCAAGAAGTTCTTGAAGTAACTACCAATCATCTTGCTAATCCAAACTTTACAAGTAATTCCATGGAAATTAAGTCAGCACAGGAAAATCCATTCTTATTCAGCACAATTAATCAAACAGTTGAAGATTTAAACACAAATAAAGAATCTGTTATTGCCATTTTTGTACCTGCAGAAAATTCTAAACCTTCAGTTAATTCTTTTATATCTGCCCAAAAAGAAACCGTGGAAATGGAAGATGTGAACATTGAAGACTCCTTATATAAGGATGTAGACTATGGAACAGAAGTTTTACAAATTGAACATTCTTACTGCAGACAAGATATAAATAAGGAACATCTTTGGCAAAAAGTTTCTAAGCTACATTCAAAGATAACTCTTCTGGAGTTAAAAGAGCAACAAACTCTAGGTAGATTGAAGTCTTTGGAAGCTCTTATAAGGCAGCTAAAGCAGGAAAACTGGGTATCTGAAGAAAATGTCAAGGTTATAGAAAACCATTTTACAACATATGAAGTCACTATGTTATAGAATAAAGAGGTTTTACAGGTGTGATTGTTAAAAGTTTTTTCCAGCCAAACAAACTACATCTAAAGTGAACTTTTTCCTGTGTAAAGTTCTCATCTTAATTAACCTATGAGAGTGCTGTAAAGTTATAAACTGTATCCTATTCTTGTAATGCTCATTTAAGAAAAATCAGAGAGTTGAGCTGGAGAGAAAAAATGGTTTTATTACTTGATAATTTTTCAAATTAAAATTTAGCACATACACAATAGGATTCAGTTATAACATGAGAAAACAAGCAAGTGGTCAAAGAACACAGACTAGAAGTCAGGTTCAGGAATCAGACCTGGTTCTACCACTGGCATACGATTTGGGCAAGTTATCATGATTGAGCCTCAGTCCCTAATTTGTAAAATAAGCACTCATTAGGTTTCTAATTGTCTGGTTCTTTATAGTTCCTTCCCTTTTTATTAAGATACTTCTTTTAGAACAGATTTTCTGTAAGATAATATATACTTAATACTAGAAGTTGGCTAGAATTTGATATTAACTATGTATTCAATATTTATTGAATTCTGTGGAATTTGACCTTTTGGTTGTACATATATATTTTAATTATATATATGTAATAGGAAGGTAAACCCTTTTTTTTGAGACAGTCGCTCTGTCACCCAGGCTGGAGTACAGTGGCATGATCTTGGCTCACTGCAGCCTCCGCCTCCCAGGTTCAAGTGATTATCCTTCCACAGCCTCTTGAGTAGCTGGGATTACAGGTGCGTATCACCACATCTGGCGAAGTTTTGTATTTTTAGTGGACATGAGGTTTCACCATGTTGGCCAGGCTGATCTCAAACTCCTGACCTCAGGTGATCCACTCGCCTCAACCTCCCAAAGTGCTGGGATTACAGGCATGAATCACCATGCCAGGCCAAGATAGACCTTTTATTTTATTCCAGTTGAACTAAACTAAGGAACCACCCATTCGCCCTGTTCTTAGAAGAGGAACTTGAAAGAATATGTATTTTTGTAACTTATGTGTGGCTAACCATCAAATACATAGTAATTTAAGCTTCCAAACATCCTGTATTTATGTACTTAGATTTATAAACCAAAAATTTTAATGAAGTTAATTTTAAATATTTATGAGTATATTTTAGAAATCATAATTCGTATCTATTTCTTAGTAGGTGTAGCTTTTAAAATATGTCCTTGTGTCATTGTTAAATTCCAGAATAATAGAGTGATAATACTGTACATTCCCACTTATATGTATTTTATTAAAATTTATAAGCAAGAAATTATAAATAAGTGGTTATGACCTAGGAAGACAAAGAATCTCTCTTAAGAGAAGTGATGGTAATGTAAATAAAAATACTGTTTATATTCACATGATTTTAAGAAAACTGTAAAAGCAAAGACTTTGTAGTAATGACACAAACCTGAAAAATAAATGTTTTCTTAAAATTGGCCGTCAATATAATTATGTTTCTGCCTATGATGTTGAGCAAGTTCTATCAGTCTGATTCTTAGTTTTCTTGTCTGTTAAGTAGAAAATACTATTACTTACCTTAAAGGATGGCTTTCAGAATTCTGTAAGGTTTTTGGTTCTGGAAAATAGGAGGTGTTCAATAAAAGTTGACTCTGAATGGCAAATAGTATTCTAATTGTTTTGTAAATGCATGATGATTCTTTTTGGCCATATTTCACTTAGTTTTGTTAGGCCAATATTAATTGGTATTATATGAAAGTATGTCAACTAATTATAAAAACATTAGAAATGACTATTAGGTGATGATGGGGGGGAAAAGTTAAAATTTTTGCCTAAATTACGTGCAGATAATTGATGAGTTAATACAGTGTTACTAAGTATCCCCATCTTGCATTTTGCAAATAATTTAAAATACAGATGAAAATAATCTTGAGTCACAATAAAGTAATACATTAACTCAAGTTTTAACAGTGCACATTATAGTAATTTTTGTTTAAAGTTACAGATTCCTCAGGAAAAATTTAAACTAGCTGTATTTCTTTTAAAAATTATGCTGGGCGCGGTGGCTCAAGCCTGTAATCCCAGCACTTTCGGAGGCCAAGGAAGGTGGATCACCATGTCAAGAGATGGAGACCATCCTGGTCAACATGGTGAAACCCTGTCTCTACTAAAAATACAAAAAAAATTAGCTGGGCATGGTGGCGCATGCCTGTAATCCCAGCTACTCAGGAGGCTGAAGCAGGAGAACTGCCTAAACCCAGAAGGCGGAGGTTGCGATGAGCCAAGATCGTACCATTGCACTCCAGCCTGGGTAACGAGTGAAACTCCGTCTCAAAAAAAAAAAAAAAAATTATAAGTAAACGTTGAGTATCTCTTCTCTGAAAATCTAAAATGCTCCAAACCCTGAAACTTTTTGAGCACCAACATGACACGCAAAGGAAATGCTCACTAGGGCATTTCAGTCCAGATTTTTGAATTGGGGATGCTCAGCTGTTAAGTGTACTGCAACTATTTCAAAATCTGAAAAACGGTCCCCTTTCTGTATTCACATCCATCCTTACTCTGATTCTCTGGACCATAGTAATCATTCTCCTGTAAAACTTTCAACAACATTGCTCTTTTGCCTATTGTTCTCACTTGCCTAAACTACATTCCTGGGTGAGTTCAAGTATCTCTTTGCCTTTTATCTTCCTACATCAGAACAGCTAGTAGAATAGAAAAGTCACATGATTGGACAGACTTGATTATAAAGTCATAAAGTCATGACCACAAATCAGATGGGCCCAGCAGTGTCACTATATTTTTCTACTAAGTTCATAACCCCACTCTTAAATTCTATCTCCTCCCTTCCTTTTCTGCCTCTCCCTCCTCCTTGCCCAAGATGAGGATCTTACTACATGCTTCATCTAGAAAATCAAAATCATTAGCTCATCATGTCTCTCTTATAAGGTCATTAATGGTCTTAAGACTAAAATCCAAAAATTATTTTTATTCCTGTATTTATTTATTGAGGCCTAATGGATACAGAATACAGTATTTCTGCCCACATCAGAATGAAAAAAAAATTTGTCATTTCACAATAATTTGTTTCTGTGGAAACCCACGATTATTCATGTTAGGAAATGGACTGATGAAATTTAATACTTGTCACCTGAGGTAAAATAAGCTTCAAATTTGTTTCTAAAACACATTCTAAAATTGGAAGCTTTCCTAGGATTTGGAGTAAGAAAGTCTTTAGAAATTTGTGAACCTCCTAATAACTACAGTGAGTATTCCTCAAAATCTGTATGGAAGAAAGTAAGGGTAAATGAGATGGATGAAAGGGAAGTATAGATGAAAGGAAGGGAGAAGGAGAGTGGATGAAAGGATTGATGGATGGATAGATGAGTATGTTTAGGTTGCACTTTTTAAACAGCTGTTTTTTCCTAAGTAGTGGTAGAGTTTGAGTCTGAAAAAATTGGGGGAGGATTCTGCAATCCCCTCAACCTAAAGGAGCAGAACAGGAAATCCTGTGAACTGAGTCTGGATTCCTCACAACTATCTCAGTAAGTAAGACACCCTCATTACTAAAAAACCCTCATCTAGTACAGGATGTATATTTGAGACAAGTCTCAAGAAAGTTTATTTTGCCAAGGTTAAGGACATACCCTTGACACAGCTGCAGGAGGCCCTGATGGCATGTGCCCAAGGTGGTTGGAGTACAGTTTGCTTTTATACATTTTAGGGAGACATGAGACATCAATATGTGTAAGACGTACATTGATTTAGTGTGGAAAAGCAGAACCACTCAAAGCGGGGCTTCCAGGTCAAAAGTCGGTAACAGACAAAAGGTTGCATTCTTTTGAGTCCATGATTAGCTTTCTGCTGAATACACAATTTAGTCTGGCTCAGTGAATCTGCGTTTTTACATGAATAGGGCAGGGGAAGCAATCAGACATGTATGTCTCAGGTGAACCTCAGAGGGATGACTGAGTTCCGTCCTTTTCTACAAGGAATTTCCTTGTTAGCAAATTGGGAGGGAGGCATGTAGCTTTTTATCATTGTGGCTGTCTTGTTTAGGAACAAAATAAGGGAGGCAGGATTGCCTGATAGTCCCCAAATTGACTTTCCCTTGGCTTAGTGATTTGGGGGTCCTTAGATTTATTTTCCTTTCCCAGATGTCAAGAACCAAGTCAGTGTTTGGATCTGCTTATTACTAAATGCAGATTTTTGGCAATAAATACTGGCCAGTTGCAGTGGTTCATGTCTGTTACCCTGGCACTTTGGGAGGCCCAGATCCCAGGTAGGCAGATCACTTGAACTCTGGAGTTAAAGAACAGCCTGGGAAACATGGCAAAACGTTGTCTCTACCAAAAATAAAAATTTTCAGCTAGGCATGGTGATACATGCCTGTAGTCTCAGCTAGTCAGGAGACTGAGGTGGGAGGATGGCTTGAGCCCAGGAGGTAGAGGCTACAATGGGCCAAGATCGTGCCACTGCATTCTAGCCTGGTTACCAAAGTGAGACCCTGTTTCAAAAAAAAAAGACAATGGTTTGTTGTTCGCTAATTTAGAATGTGTTTCTACTGGCAGGTGAATTCATTCTCATCACTACCATTGCACATGCCTAATGTTTCAGTCAGTGACTGTGACATGGCAAAAGCCCCATAAACTGCATACCTCGACCATACCTGGGCTTTCTGTTGAAACTGCTCTCAGTAACCCTAATGTGACAGGCAAGCAATCCAAACCCACGCCATCCTGACCCCTGCGACTTGTAATAAGTAACTAAGGTCTGTAATTTCCACCCTCTGTGAACCACTTAAGTAACAATCGGAATGTCCAAAGTCCCCTGGCCCTCGGAATGTCTGAAGCCCCTCACCCTCACCGCCACCCAGGAGGTGTTTTACAGAATGTCCATAGTCCACTGGCCCTTGGAATGTCCAAAGCCCCTCGTGCCCACCCCTGCCCAGGAAGTGGTTTACAGGCATAAAAGGTCTTGACACTCTCCTTTCTGGGCCACGGGTTGGAGAGACATCAGTCCTCTGTGGCCACCGGCAATAAAGACCCTGCAATTTGGCATACTTTTGGTGTTGATTTTCTATGCTCACTCCAGTACAACAGACTAAAGCAACACTTTAATAATGCAAGAGAGGATCTGAGTTAGGGTTCTTTCAGTTGCAAGGAACAGAAACTCAATCCAGCTCAAGACAGGAATCAGAGAAGAGCAGAACTGACGATTCAAACTAGGGTCTCAGGAATCCAAATACAGAAGTTGCAGTACAGCCAGGCACAATGGCTCACACCTGTAATCCCAACACTTTGGAGGTTCAAGGCAGGAGGATCACCTGAGGCCAAGAGTTTGAGACCAGCCTGGGCAACATAGTGAGACCCCGTTTCTACAAAAAAATTTAAAAATTAACTGGGCATGGTGGTTTGTGCGTTTGGTCCCAGCTACTTAGGAAGCAGAAGTGGGAGGATAGCTTGAGCCTAGGAGGTCAGGGCTGCAGTGAGCCATGACTGCACCAGTGTACACCAACCTGGGCAACAGAGTGAGACCCTGTCACACACACACAAAAAAACAGTTGCAGTATAGTTGTGCCCCTAGTAATTGGTTCTGGAAGACATCTGGAAAAGAGGCTCCCTCATGTCAACTGCCTCCTGAATGGCATCTGTTTCACATTCTCTACCCCAGCCAAACCTTATAATCTCAGTTTACAAATAGGCCCCTAAGTTTCTTGACATTATGAATCTTCAGCTTCCTCTATTTATTATCTCAGTCATTCAGTTTTCAAATATCAGATTTCCAAAGAGGAATCCAACTAGACATTGCATATATTTTTAAGTAAGTGGGTCTCTAGTAAACCTGTAAGTAGGCATCCTTTGGGTCATGTCTTACAGGCTGCAGTTGCATCTAGTGAATAGGATGGGGAAGGGTCACATGGTATTAGAACAGACCCATCTATCTCAGTAAAGCCTTGAAAAGGAGCAATTTCCCTTTGAAAAAGAGGCTGTGAGTGAGCAAGCAGGTAATTACTTTAGTTCTGTGCTGCTGTAAAACATGAACTATAAGAATGACATCATTTCTACATCATTCTCCCCTTTTCAAACCAGGTCCTTCATGTCTTTCCTTTAGCTTGTAGCTCAAGAAATGGCCTACTAAGCCATTTCCCTATTTCCAGAGAAAGTGAGAACCAGGCAGTATTGTACAGGATAACATATAATCTTATAAGAAAGTAGGTTTAAAGCTAATATGAACTAGTAGTTATAATAAATGTAGAGCTATTCACAACTCCAAACAATTTTGAAATAACCCAAAAACATTAATATGAAACTATACATATTTAATGTTTTAATAAAAGAAGCTCTAAAATAGAGATATGGTTTGGCTTTGTTTCCCTACCCAAATTTCGTCTCAAATTGTAATCCCCAGGTGTTTGTGAGGGACATAGTGGGAGCCGATTGGATCATGGGGGCAGTTTTCCCCATGTTGTTCTTGTGATCATGAGTGCTCATGAGATCTGATGATTTTTATAAGGGGCTCTTCCCCCTACTCTTGCTCACTCTCTCTCTCCTGCCACCATGTGAGATGTGCCAGCTCTCCCTTATGTCATGATTCTAAGTTTCCTAAGGCCTCCCTAGCCATGTGGAACCATGAACCATTTATACCTTTTTTCCTTTGTAAA